CCCCCGCCTCGTATTTTTAAATTGTTTTCAGACCTCTGCTGATAACAGGCACCAAGCATAAAATTTATTTTTGGGTACTCACAAACACCCAGCAGGCCTGAAAAGCTCTAATTCTAAAATATGTGTGCTTTTTTAAACACTATCAAAAAACAAACTCAATTTAATTTTAATATAAAATTGCTGTAAATATGTTTGCTGAGGTTGAACGCGGTAAATAAGTCAGAAATCAAGTTTTGCTTTGGAGATTGTAGAAGTAAGATTAGCAGGCTAGAACTCTTTTTGGAGAATCCAACTTTGCCCCCTAGCTATAACAAGTGACCTCTGTGGAAATTTGTTGAAGGTGCCAGTAACTGCAAGACTATATGACAGCAATAGAAGGTCATTTGTTCTCACCAAAAAGAAATCATAAGCCTTTTCAATCAGCCTTTCCTTATTGAGGACTGGCTCTAGTTTTAAGTGCTGGACTGTCTCTGAAAGCTGAAGCTGTTGCTGCCTCCAGCTGTCTACCGTTCACAGCCTGGCATATTGATATAAGCTGTCAGCACTTTGGCCAGGTCAGCTACATCTGCCACCCAAGTAGCGTTTGTAGGCCCACCTCTTGCAAATAGACTTTTGAGTAAATGCAAGAGGCCTCTGACAAAGCAGGGCTTTAATTATAGGCCTGTTGCAGTCACTCAGACCTTTATAAATCTTTAAGGCCAGATCCTACGAAAGGCTCTGTACAGTATGTTTTTGCAGGGCATAAAGATCTAGCTCTTGATGTGCTGTGTGCAGCAGCTGTACTGAACATGAGTTCCACACATGTTTATGATAAAAAGATAAAAATTGGTTTCAAACCGTGAGGAATTGTATGTTTTTTCAAACTATAACAGCTAGAGTAAATAGTTCTAACTTCTGAAGACATTGCTAAATAGCAAAAGGATATGTAATTCATGAAACAGGCATACCTGAATGGTAATCAGTTAAAATAGCCTTTACTATATCTCTCAGCACATGAATAACCGAAGTACAGAAAAACCTAAGATTTCATTTTTACTTACATGTCTTGGATCTTGAGGATTTACAGAAGCAAGAAAACTCTGCAGGTCTTCAAGCTCTTTCCGCTTTTTCTCTGTTTCTCTTTTTTCTTTCTCCATCTGTTTTTCCAGTTCTAAAGCTTCCTTGCGTAGCTGATGCAAGATTTGTATCTTGTTACTCAATTGCTGTTCAAGATCTTCTTTGCTGGCCTCTGTTATCTGGAGGTTGGGTAAAAGAGATACATTGGAAATATACAGCTGATTGAGAACCTTTTTAAAAAATTAAATCAGACTGCTAGTTTAGCAGGATATCTATTTATTGTTTTGAATCCTGAGGGCTTTCTTTAGATAACAAAAACTCATAGGACTTTCTCAAAATGAACTGCAAAATTGAAAAGTAGTTAGCTTATGGCAACTATACAACATCAGTCTGCCACACTAGGAAACCCCAGAATCCTCATTTTGACTGTCACCTTGAAATGTTTCATTTTCAAGCAGACTTTTGAAATTGCTTGTAAAATTCCTTCTTGCAGTCTTAAGGAGAAAGTCTGGAATGTCTTTTTTTCTCTTCCACAGTTATGACTCCTTAGGTTGAGGTATGGAAGATTTTAAAGCAACTTTAAAGACTAGAAATAGCAACAATTTATGATAATTGTTGAAGAAATGCACGATACAATTTTAGTTTAAGGCTGACAGAAAAATATAAATTGTTGATTGTACAGGATCAATGTTGATGATACAGTCACTGTATATTATTAGTTACACTACGAAATGTGCACAGTGTGAGTCCTCCCTCGAAAGGCCTTTTCTGATAAATCAGCATATATCCAATCCATATAAGTATACTGGGACATCGAGGCAAAACATCCTTTCTCATGAACATTGACTTCAGGTCCTCAGCACTTCTCATGCTGTTACCGCTGTTGCAATGTTACTCTTACTTTCTGCTCCCTCTACTAAGCTTTTGAGAAGCTGTAAGATTATTGACTATCGGAACCGCGAAGGTGAAGCTAGGTTTCAAAGCAAAGTCTCTTCCTGGGTAATGTAGCAACCCTTAACTGTCTGCTTACTGCAACACTCATACAGGTACCCTTTCAAAACATGTTGAGGAAAGTTAACTATCAGTATCATTGCAATTAGATGAAACATGATACAATGCAACTTACTGTACTACAACTCTGGTGGTTTTTATAAATAAACCACTCAAAACCCCTAAGATTTTTTTGATGCATGACAAATAGATTTATACATGTACAATGGTGTCCTCTCCCCCCTAAAAAGGAAGAAATGCATTTTTTTTTTTTATATATACACTGCTTCAAGCATTTTTCCTTGCTATGCACTTAGCACTCATCTTTGCATACTTTTTTCTGAGCCAGAGCATCTTCCACTTGTTGCAGTTCCCCTGTTACTTTCAAAACTTGTTGCTCTGCATTTGTTATTGCACTTTGCAGTTCTTCTAATCTTCCTTGTGCTGCAAACAAATAATAAAAAAAGAAAGTATATTTTAAGATTCCATGCAACACTGATACATATTTTCTTTCAATACTTTAACTAGAATTCACCTTCCTAAAAGGAAGACAATCAGAGCTAATATATACTGATTTCTCTAATATATGTCTAATAAACTATTTTGTGGGTTGCATCCAATAAATTAAAGTATCATAGATGGGAGATTTCCCTGGCAGTCTCTTTTCAATATGCAGATATAATCCTTTCATACTGAATTATCTTAAAATAAATCTGTGATTCTGTGATTCTGTGAAAATAACAGTAAAGAGCAATTGTAACAATTTTGGCCTAAAATGCATCAAGTACAGTGCTTAGAAATTACAGCCTTTGACACATTACTGGTATTCACATGGCAAATATTTGTCAAGAGTTTTATCAAAGAAAGAAACAACACTGATACACGTATTTTATTTAATAAATTTAACATTTTACCTGAATTAATCTTTTTTTCTTTATCCTCCAGTTGTTCATCTAGAGTTTGAAGCTGCAATTTTAGCTGGGGGTTCCTATATAAATCATCTTCATCTAGTTGCATCTTTACAATCTTCATCTGATGAGCTTTATTAACAATATAACCCTCTCTTATAAACATATTTCTTTTGTATCTGGCCTTACCAATGTATGGACTTTCACCAGGTACATCATCGAGTTCAACATCCTAAAACGTACGAAGCAATATTTCTCTTAGGTTATTTATAGCTATCTATCTAGATCAGAAACATGGCTGCAGTCAACTCATAAGATACACTTAACCTTCTTAACAACCGTATGAAGGAAAAACCCGCTTGAAATTAGAATTTAAACAAGAAGAAAACAAGACTATGCTTGAATTTTTTGGTCTTGAACATTCTTGTGATTTTACAATGGGAATAAAAACAAGCAAACAGTCTACTGATACTGGCAGACGCGTTAGCAATTGGGGTACAATCAGTTTGTTAAATGCAAATAGGTATTTAATTGGAAGAGTATTTCTTAATATTTTAGACTTAACACTAATCTATATTATACTTATACCACTATACCGTTGCACTTAAACTTTACTCAAACATAATTTTTTTAAAAAGCATTCACAGTTAATGATCGCTGATCTTAACATATTTTTATTGTGTAGACTCCCTTCATTAGGCATCTCTAAGAAGATTAAAAAAAAAAAAAAAGGCCAGAAGTAAGGACAATCATCTGCTTCGTTCTTGATAAGAATAAAATGTTTATTCACTGGCTTTCCTTGGTTGAAACTTATACGTATGTAGGTATGTAAACTAATACAGCAAGCATTAGATGTCACTCAGATTTTACGAATTCTTCATTTTAACCTTCAGTAGGAAAATACGCAGTTCAAGTTATATAACCTGTGATTTTAAATAGAGATTTTCACATTTGATAACTAACACCTCTTTGTAAGCAGTGTCTATCAAATTTATGGAAAATAAATTTCATAGGTTTTCTAAGTTGAAAAGCAAGAAAAACAGAAATGAAAAGATCCATTTTTTAAAAATTGTTACCTCTGATGGAAAATAACTTAATGGCTCAAATTTTGCATCAATCTTATAAAATGCCAGTTCCTGCTCCAGTTCATACTGCTTCTGGCAAGCTCGCGTTAGCTCCATTGTTTTCTGCTTTAACTAATAAACAGTAAACAAAGTGAGTTGCACTCATTCAAATGTCATTGTTATCACACACATTTCAATACAGTAGCGAGTAAGGCATAGACATTAACTCTGAAACATTAAAAGAAAGAAAAAAATTAAAAAGCTAAGATTCTGTATTTTGGACCAAGAATGTAACAAAGCACATCTTCATTATAAGATAAAGTATGACGAACAAGAGCAGACAAGAACCCGACAGTTAACATAACACAAAAGATCACATGAAAGGCCTTTTAATTAAGTTTTTATCTTATACAAATTTCGTTTTTGATGCATCAAAGGTTTGAAAATAAATTTGTCAGTAACTTGGGAAAGAAAGTAATTTGGGTACAATTAATCCTTTAACAAAATCTACACCACATTATGAACATAATTGCTGCTACCAATCTGCAAAGGTAACCAACTCTTAAACTCTTTGTTTATAAGAGAAATTAACTCAACTGTGAAAAGTGTCTAAAGTATATGCATTTCATTGTAGATTACACAACCCTATGCTGATTGTGTAATTTATTCATTTTTTTTTTTAAATAAAGCTCCATCATGTGATTTTTTTTTAATCACCTTTTCATGCTGAATACCTGAGGGAGAACATGCACCGAAACTCCAATAGACAGTGGAATGCAGACTAATGGAGGAGAAAAAAAAAAAAAAAGAATAGACTGGAATACAGGAAAGGCTTAAAGAAAGATTTAAACAAAAAAAAAAAGAAAAAAGGAAAATCAAAATATGTAGTGCCATACAAAAAGGAATGCTGCCCCTGAAAAACCCCTGAGAAAACAGCATCTAGAAGACTCAGTGAATAAACAGTCTCAATAGAACAAGCTATTTACATATTCTTAATCTGTTAAGCACGCAAAGAAATCCTATCAATAAAAATAACCATGCAACCCAGGAGCACAGGGGGACTACCTTTAGTGAGGAATAAAGGCTCTGCAGAAAGGGAACTGTGACAAACCAAGACACCAGCTAAAGGAAGAAAGAAGCAAGCAAAGTTTGTCATCTAAAGGACAGGAGTGGGTTAAGTTGTAAAAAATATGCTGCTAAATCTCACTATACTGAAAACTAGATTTGAGAAATAGGCTGTTTGTTAGTAAGCATGTTCACAGAAGAAACAGCTGTAGAAATAGTAGCTATAGAGAATGCTAAGGATAAAATTGTAGAAGATGAGTCTAACAAGTAAGGTACAAGGGGTATCACTGGCCTACAACTTCTCAAACACTAAGTATGAATACTTATATTTAATTTTCTCTCCTGCTGTAGCAGCACTTCAAAGTTTGAACAATGCAGGAGCTTCAGTACACTGGCAATTTAGCAGCTACAAGATACTTAACCTTTCACCAACTGACAAAATTTTAAACAAAAAAATGACTAGAGACAAACATATAAATAACTATAAATTATATACTACTTACTTTTTTCACAGAAAGACTATTGAAGAACTACTGGTGAAGGAATAATTCCTCTGTATAAAGTGGAAGAGTTCTAAGTTTTGTGTCTTCCAAAATACTGATCTCTTTAATTTTAAGTATGAAATCTCCAGCCATTTAAACTCTCCCATTGACAGCAACGTCTCTGGTAACTAAACTAATCCAAATATTTCCTTAGTGCAAGTGATTATCTTACCAACTCATTTTTGGTGTCCAGGTCCCTCTGTAGATCTTCATAGCTGTGTTTCTGCTGCAAATTCTTTTCTTTTAATGATTTATTGATCTCATCTTGATGGTGAAGCTGCTCAAGCACTTTGGACTGTTTAACTTTAAGGTTATCCATCTCCTTTACTGTGTTTTCCAACTCTTTTTCTAATTTTTCTATTTCTTCTGAAAAACGAAGTAATAGAAACATCCATATAGAAATCTCACCCATCTAAACTTAAATTTGGTGTCATTCATTGTAGTTCTAGCATATTATTATTACCTAAATCAAACCTCTCTAGAGCCTCCTGCCTGTCATGAGTTGTCACTGGCTGTCCCTCCAAGTTTTCCAGCGCTCGCAAGTGGAATATGGTGTACAAGCGGTAGTGAGGTAGACTTGCAACTGGATTATCAGCAAGGAATAGAGAAGTCAGATCTTGTAGAGGCTTCAGTTTAGCTATATCATAGAGCTAAATCAAAGACAAATGATACAACAATTAGACAGCCTTCCAAGAACAATTAAACCTCCATTACTGAATTTCTGATGGTATAAAATATTTACGTTAGAGCCATATCAAAAGGTCTATTTTAATATTTATACTGAATTGGAATCTCTAAAAACCTACCCAAATACACAGTACTATAGCTAAACTAGCTTTCTAAAATCAAGTTGTTTCTTCTAGGAAAAAATACTAATGCAAAGAGAGGCAACTTCATCAAGTTTGACCTTGGAAATTCCAAGATGGGAAGGGCTCTGGATATGTATAACCTTCCCTTCCCACAGACTAGCTCATAAGAAAAGGTAGCCGTTGTCATGAGGAGCACTCAAACAAAGCTGGTTCATCTCTCCTCCTAGCAGCATAACTCCTTCAGGAATTGTACTATTAAGTGACTTCATTTCATAGATGCCCTTTTGTAGCTGCAAAACAAGAAATTAACCTGGACCCAGAGGTAAATGTAATCAGGTCCTAAATACAAAACATAAGCAAATAGATTATTTATTATTTATTTACATATTTATTATTTAGGTCTCCAAAACATGTAATTAACTTATAATACGAGAGAGCACTGCAAACATGCACAAATCTTCAAGCTTTCATTAAGTTTTTCCTAAGTTTGCAAAGTCTTATACTTTCCTAGTGAACATAACATAGGTTTATGCTTTGAATGCCTTACACAAAAGGGAGATTTTTGCTAATAGAAAAGTTTGTTAGGCTCACAACCACAAACTCTCTGGAAGGACATTTGGTAATTATTCACAATAAGCCTGCCATGTAAATTTATAAGCTCACCTCAGTGAAAAGATTTTGAACAATTAGTGTTCCTAGCTATAATCACTTACTGATGACACTTTATTCTGTTCTAAATTAAGGATGCGCAGGGATCTCAATTTCTTCCCTACCCACAAAGGAATATGCTCAATCTCATTTCCTGCAAGGTTCAGCTTTTGTAGATTCTGCATATGTTCTATACCTTCAATTTTACTGAAAATAAGAGAAGAGAAACATAATGAGTTACGAAGCAGATCAAATTTACAGTGCAACCGAGGCATTATGGGCAAGTTACAGCAAAACCTGTCTCAACTAATTACCATCCAAGAAATAAGCAAAAAAATAGTTTATTGCAATGGATTCACAATTCAAAAGAAAATCATGACAGAGTTACTTTCAAGTATTATGTTAAGACAAAAAGAACAATTTTACAGCAGAACTTTGATGTTTACTGTGGCAAAACCTTCACTTTCACATAATAATAATACTAAAATTACAGTGCGGTAGTTTCATTCAAATATAGAAATTTCATCCTTTTTCTCCTTAGATTTAGTTACTGAAAACTTAGGGGACATAGCAAAACCAAAACAAAGGTGTGTCCATTTTTTTCATACAAAAGTAAGAATCTACTGTAAACTGATAACATGCAGAACTAAGTTTTTTTTAGTATTTTCATTAAAATACCAAATAACTAATAAGGAAAACATATGAGGCTTCAGTTTGCCTCATGGGTTATCTAAAGGTAGGATTATTCTAATACAGTACCATAGAACATGCTCTTGTGGCCATATTATTTTTTGAGTAGAAACAAATCGTATATAACTAGAGTCTGAAAACATACGGTATTAGCAAAAGCAAAAGCTACGCTGACCTTTTCAGTTCCTGTTAAGAGAGGAAGTTGTGTGAATGCAATGTGCAGAAATGCTAGTGTCTTGCGTACTTCCTATTGTTAACTTCTTTACTGAAGTTGTGGCTCCTCTACTGCAAAGTCAGTCTCACATAAACAGATCATACATCACTAACAGAAAAACTAAAGGAAACAAAGAATTTTGCTATTGCTTGAACCAGTACTCTTCAGCATTTTTACACTACTCAGATAAAATACCCAACTCAAAATAATGCAAGTGAAAAAGCAATTCAGTAAGTTTACTGCCTGTCTGATCAGGCCCATCCATACATTTATTTTGTGAGAGATCTCACTTAAAAAGAGAATGTCAGCTTCAGCCTTATAGTATCTGGGCTTAAGAAAAGTATTGTTGTTTCTGCTTACCTGATTTTGTTGTAAGACAAATTGAGTTCACGCAACTTCAACAGTTTATCCAACTTCTCAATCTTCTCTATTTGGTTGTTACTGATATTCAGTGTCTCTAGTTTAGAGCACTTTTCCAAATTTTCTATGTACTAAAGAAAAGAAAAGCTATCCCTTAGCATTGCAACTTGATTGCTTTTTAATGAGAAAGGCAGATTTCTATTTTTAACAACCACACATTCATTTAAAAATATATATTCTAACTTTTTTTTTAAATCACCAAGTTTCACTGTTGATTCTAAAACCCTGCCTCTGACAGTCTTTCATAGTATTGGAGAATGAAAACTAGATTCTAGATTTGCGGTGGATCAACCTCGTCTGCCAAAAAAGGGAACTTGCCATTAAAAAGACAAGCACCATCCAAAAGCTGAAAAATTACACAAGTAGAAGGCATTCTGAACTTTAGTCTAATAAAAGTTTCATTTTGTACAAGTCCCCACTGATGTTATATAATTTTTGATTTTACAAAAGCTGCCTGCAGAAGTAGGCTAAGATAGTTAGAATACAGCTGTTTATACCTACTTTAAAAACAAACCTTTCTTAAAAGATTGAAACGTATTTTTAATTTTGGTTAATTAACAGTTATTTTCAATAACTTACCTTAAATTTCTTGTCCCCCTCCTTTGCAAAAGAAAGATTCAGTGAGCTTATACATGCCAAATTTTCCTGTTTTGATAGACTTTTTATAAGGGATTCTGTAATGTACCTAACTCCTGGATTAACACCATTTTCATCTGAAATTAAACAGAGAAAACTACCCTCAGTAGTGAAAGAATCAATGACCTTTATTTTCTTTTTTTGCATTGCACTGCATATAGGGAAAACTTTGAAAATTATTCCCCAGCACAGGTTATGAGAAGCAGCATCACACCAGAAGCATTTCCAGGAACTGACATGGCACAACGTGCATCTTCCTGAGCCAGTCTTCTTTCCCAGTGCAGAACATAATGAGTAGAAGTCTCATCATTCTACATGGCTTTCATGATCACATTTCCACATTTTGAGGACCAAAAGATAAAAGCAAATTCCTCAAGTTTCTTTCTAACAAGTCATACATCTTTAATTACGGAGATCATAAAAGATTGGGTTTTTTATGCTTTTAGTATGTACGTTAATATCAGCAGTTATTCATGCAATACCTTCATGAAACTGATTCTTAAAAGCATCTTCTATATTTCTTGCTGTAATATCACGTTTTGGATGTCTCCACTCCCTGCTTTTGCGAGTAGATGGAGATGCCTGTCGGCTAGGAGGAGATGGTGATCTGGTGCTTGAACTGACAGTAGACATTGGACTAGGTGTCCGAGAGGCTGACATCTGTGTTTTCCTACATAATACTTTTTGTACTGAGCCCTTCTTCATTGCAAAAGATATAGGCTATCATATGACCAATATCTGTAACAACACAAATAAACATCTGAGATTTCCAAAGTCAGTACATAAGCCTAACTCCTAATAGTTTGCATGCCAACAGAGGTGCTACAGAATCATACTGTGTCAAGATTTTAGATGCTTGTTATCTCAGTAACTTTTGTTTAACTACACAGTTTACTACTTCAGACGATACACAGTTTGGGGCATCACAGAAATGATAATTTAGAAGTTACTTTTTGACATAAGAAAACATTTCCAGCAATGATCTGTTGCCAAAAAACACATTTAAAACAATTCGCTAGTGAGTGATAGCTTCCAGTTTTCATAGACTACAATGTATTAGGAGGGATGAATACGAGGAACTGGCTGAACTATTTTGCAGTGCATCTTGGTAACTGTCCTGCAATTTATGGCTTAGATAAACTCTTTTCTTGTTCGTAAGAAGTAGGATCCAAACTCTGCTTTTACTAAGGCTAGAAATCACCAACTTGGCACAACGTGGCAAGTAAAAGAAAATCCCCCCCCCCCCCCCCGGAACAAACAAACAAACAAAATCAACCCAGCACTGGTATTTCTTCAACGTCCCCCTTTTTGCAAACAAGTTATTCCACAGCTGGCTGGGAAATTCCAGAGTTCCAGAGTATTTTAACACAAACTTCCCCCAAAGAATAATACGTTTCCCTGGTAAGCATAGAAAGACTCCTGTACTCATTCTGTACACAAAAACCCTTGTAGTAACCACCTTTCTGGGGCTGATTTTTACTAAAACCTAGACCAGTAGGCAGCAGCATATTTTGAGTCATTCTTCAAGATTAAAAAAAATCTACTTTTAATTTCTTTTTTCTTGGTAGACAGTGTAATCGCTCAGGTGACACAAAGCTAGGAAGATTTTCTTCATTAAAATGGAATTAGGACCACCCCTAAAAAAAAAAAAAAAATGGGGGGGGGGCAAGAAAGAGAACGGTCTCACTCTGGTCTATCTCCATATTTGGGGACACAGCTCCTGTCATTGAGATGCCGGAAAGTCAGATTTGTAGGGGGAGGCGCGGTGAAAGATGGTGATGAGCTAACGCAAAACCGCGTTGGGATCCTTCTCAGCGATCTGAGGAAGGCAGCTGGATATTTTAATGCTATTTTCCGAGAAGAAATTGTGCTTTTAAATGCAAAAGTACAATAAAATTCTCATGCCAAA